GGAGTGGGGCTCATGATAGCTATAGGCTACAGCCTATATAGAACGCAGTCCTGGAGATGCCATTGTCACTGCCCACATCAGGGCTCCACGGTGTTTCTGGTTGGGGTATTTAGTCCGGTCTAGCTTGGGTCCAGTTCGGATTCGGCCACATGTCTTGCCACTGTGCGGTGCAACGTGAAACAGCATGAGGCTTCCTTCAACCCTAAGCTTTTGTCGTACCATTGCGATGCCCTCTGCTCTGCACTTGCACGTTCGATTCGCCTTGAACCTGGAGTTCTACCAGGCAAGAAGTGGCTAAGGTGTGATGAGTCTGTGAGGTCTAGTCTAGGACTGATGTGGCCATGTCTATTCGTATGCCTTGGTACTGTAATGTTGTTGTGTTCGCTCAACAGCGGGGGATCCTTAAGGCATGACCTCGTTTCAAAACAATCAAGCTGCCGAGGATCAAGCCATGAGTGACCTGGCCGCATGGAGCAGCTTTCATGAAAGTTTGCGCTGCTGCTTCACCCCTGGAGCATCCTGGATTCATGGGCGTGGACCAACAGATCCAGAGAAAGCTCTTATCGTACAATTGCAGCCCACGCCTTTCACAGCTAGAGATTGTGGAGATCTGCTGCGTACGAATACCACAGCCCACTCCTGCGACAACCGGCAGGCAGACCAGGCGTTTAAGTCCAGCCCAACAGGAGAGCCTACCAACGGGATGGCATTCCGACAATCTGATCTTAAGATTTTGAACCATGGATATCTTCACAAAGAAACCAACCGGCCGACCCTCAACCTGAATGCTCCTTTCACCTTTCATTCCGGGAGTCCCAGGTTCAGCGGCCCGAATTGCTAGCCTCGAGGAACGTGCGCGGATGCTCAGAGCAGCGGTGACACAGCCGAGGTTTGGAGGTTCTCCAGAATCTTCACAGTCTACCCTCAATCAAGTGCAAGAGGCACACCCTCCTCCTCCCGGCCCCTCCCAGAGCCTTCTTTTCTAGACCTTCTGCGCCCCGACAAAAGAATACGGAAAGGTGGTACAGGTACCTTCAAAGCGCCCGAGGTCGTCCACCTCGAAATGGCCAACAGCCAGCTCAGCAGCCAACTCCACGCCGCGCTCAACGGCCATGCCTGGGACTGCCGGGCCCCGAGTTGCTTCATGTCTCTGTGTGCGCGCCCCGGCGATAGCTATCCATATCTCATACACACTTGTGTTACATGTATGAAGGCTATATGCTTCTACAGTTATGTAGTTAGAAATGTTTTTATCATATTGTATATATATATATGTATATATGCACACATGAGTGAGGCTGCTATATTCTCAAGAAGCGCACACACACACACACACAAAACAAACGCAAGCCCAAACCCAGACAAACACACACATTAAATGTTCATAGTACGATGTAGCATCGCTTGCTACGATTGCTTGCCTTCATTCTTGCTTGTCGTGTGGTGGGGAGTTCACTGGGGCCACATCGTCCACAACCCCTGAAATGAGTTTGGATGTGGGTCGATCATTCTGCAAAGGTGAGTACATTCAGCTGAGGTGGCACATTTGCGGAGCCCCAAAAATGACCCCATCTTGGAAGAATCTCGCGATGGCACCCTGTAACGGTTGGAGGGGGGGGGTGTGTGAAAATAAGGGCCCCTAAAAATGGAACCCCAAACAGTAGGGTTCCCGTGTAATAAGGACCCCAATAAGGTACCCCTAATTCCGTAAGCCCCCACTTTACTCAGAATCCGCAATCTCCGAGCACGAGCGAACTCGCTGCTCCAGGAATGACGCTGCGCCTCTGCAGGGTGCAGGCGTCTCCACAGCCGCAGCCGAGGCTTCATGTTAATTGGGATGTAGGCAAAGTTTGTCGTTCTCGGGGTGAGCTGACCGACACAGCTGCGCTTTGCTATGAAGCTCCGTCCTGAAATTGGGGAAACCAGGGCAGGCCGAAGCAACTCGCCACTCACCCTGAGCCCTTCCCTACCCAGCATTACCAGCCATCGGGTATCCGAACGAAGAAACATAAAAAGCAGGAACGGATCTGAAGAGCATGGTGCAGGGGGCCGATGGGGCCCCAAAGGCTGCCTCACCGAGCTCACGTTTGCAGGAAGTAGGTTTCCCATAGGTCCTTTGCACATTAGCCTTTCTTCAGTGTCCAGGGGCTTCGGGGCTGCGTGCAGAGAAGCTTGAATTCGAAGGAGTACTACATTTAGGTGCTGTAGATATCTACACATACTGGAGCTTCTCCGCTGTGCCCTGATGAATCCGAACCAGCTGTCGGAAAGGCAGAACAGCCCTGCAGAGTTGGGAACACCTGGCTCACAACCTGCCTTCGGCTGTTCCAGTCCACTATCTCGGCTGAGACACCCTGGGCCAATGCTGAAACGATTGTTTACAGCAACTACTGTACTGTTAGCTGTTAACATGGCTTCATGGGCATGGCTTGGGATGTCGAAGTCGACTTGTCTCGCAGTCGGTTGCTGGACCTTGGCCGCGTCTTCCCAGGTCGTTCCTACTCTCGCAGATGCTCACACGCCCTCTCCCTTAGCAGCATCACCAACCGCAACTGCTACTGCTACGCTCCTGCTTGTATTGCAGCTTCTGCTACTGCTCAGACGACTCCTACATAGACATTGAGTGCAAGTGTGAAAAAATGCTGCAAGTATTAACCACTCAGCACCACCTTTCACCTAGCCCCTTCAAAGACCCTTCCTCCAAGAAACACAGAAGCTGGACAATACCTTTTTCCTGTCAAAAACATATTCAATGCTCGGGAGACTGCAGAAATTCGCACTCATCCGGGTCCAGACTTGTGTGGCGGTGTTTGCTTGTAGAGATACAGGCCTCTCTCAAACACAGGATCCGAGTGTTTAAACCCTGTTGAAATGCTCAAATCCTTGAACCCTAGACCCTGAAACCCGAACCCCCCCTCCCCCCACCCCCCTCATCTTTTCAGGTCAAGGCTCCCACGTAACGTACCTCCACACTGGCTCTGTTTCTGACATCAGCACTTTGAAGGTCTGTCGCTCCTGCTACTGCGGCTGCTGCTCATATTGCTACCTTAGTATTTCCCACTGCTTTAAACAGAGCAAGGGCCAGGACACATCCTGTATGATTCCGCTTTCGCTATACTTCCGCCTGCCACTACTTGAAATCCTGCTGCTGTTGTCCCTGCCCATGCCTCCTGCCCATGCCAAGGTCAAAAAGTCCAAGCACCGCTTCCTAGAACAGGCAAACGTCCAGCAACTGCGGCCGAGCAATTCTACACAGCTTGTGCAAAGCTTCTCTCCGTTTGAGGGCTGCAAAAAACGAATCGGCAAATTGGGGGTTTACGATTTTCGGGGTACCTTCTTGGGGTCCTTTCCTATTATTTAAGGGACTGGTATCAGGGGTTCCTGATTTAAACCCCCATGTTTATGGCTGTCCGGAGTCTCTAGACGAACCTCATCCAGAGTACGATCCCCCAGTCAGTCGCATTCGTCCAGCCCAGGACAGCGAGTTAGGTCATGGCGAGCCGATCACAGCTGGCTATGATTCCAAAGTAACGGAAGAAGCCTTGAACCATATGAAGCAGGATTCATCTCACTGTTATTGGTGAGTGTATATAGGGTTTCTGTTTAAAATTGATGAGTGTATATGTTGGGTGTCCTTTTGGGGATACAAGCAATATAAACCCTACTTCATATGTTGGTGGAGTCTTAGACAGCTGCAATCGGCATCCTAGAGGCCGCGAAGGACAAGCCCCCTCCACATGCCCAACGCCGCAAAAGCCTCAAAGCACCCGAGGACTGCACTTAACTGCACTTGGGGGGGCCTTGCTGTACAGATACATTTGCTTCAGTAGTTTCCAGGCCCTGGCCGGTGGGAGGGTCCCAGGCTGTCAGGGAAGGGTCTCGGCCTGATGAGAAGCATTTGCCGAGACATTTATCGCCCATTCTGGGAGTTCTTCGGTTGCTTCTTCCCTGGATGCAGCCTCCACCACATTGCCAGGGCTCCCGCAGATGGGGTGCCAGAGACAAGCCCGCCGAGCAGTTACAACTACAAAGTTGGAACGCTTGCTGAAACAAGGACACAGCCTATGGGGGTTTCAGCAGCCGGTGAGTTACCGTGAGTCTGTCAGTGATGGTTCAGCCAGCAGCTGGGCTTTGCCACCATCACAGCACATCAAGCCTCGCTTCCCAAGACATATTGCGAACTATCCCGGCTTCTTTGCACCCTATGTGGGGAATTGGGGAATTATCAAAATCTCGATTTCCTGAGGGATGCAGGCAAAAAGCCGGTCGTCGCACATTTTTTCGGCGACCGGCAGGTCATGAGCATCCCTCAATACCCGACGTGGAAAGGTGGGGACCCGTCAGCTGCCAGAACAGTTCGGCCGTTTTGTTTGCTGGTCTCCAAAGTCTAATGGAGTCTAATGTTGTACAGCGGGGTATGAATATTGGAATGAAGGAGCTACGCCAAATTGCGAAATAGCAAGGTTTATGATTTGCACTTGATCCCTTGGTGTTGCCTTCCAGCTGTCAGAGTCAGTGCCAAGCGTCGCAAGCATTTTGAAACGAGTCGCAAAGGACTGCTCGGGCTTCTTTCTATCAAGTGCGGTGAGGTTCTGCTTGAGGAAAAAGCTCAGGTACAACCGCAGCTGGCACAGGTGGTGGCAAGAAGCTGGCAAAAAGTTGCCGGGGCCGACGTGGCGCTTCCTAAGCCCTTAAGTGCAGCATTTCCCTCGGTCGAAAGCGTCGTTGGAATTTCTAGGAACATGCACGCAAAAGCTTCCCTCATAGTAATCAAACATGACCACTTCCTGCCTAAGCTAAAATCCAATCGCATGCAGGCGAGACGAGGGAACCCTGCGAGCCCTAGTGTCTTCCTTATGGAGACTACTCCCCGGCTCGAAATCACAAGGCATGAATGAACAGAACCCAAAACACCTTGAACTCCCTCAATTCCCCAAAGCTCCACAGCTTTACAGCATTCCCCCCGCCCCCCACACAACTCCCAAAGCTCCCCGCCGAAGGCTGGAGCCACTCTTGCGGCACTTGGCCCCAGGCCTGGGAGACATGGGAGACACCCTCCGCCAAGAATAGCGCCATGGCTCGAAGCAACCTCAACATGCTTCGATACTTTCTCAGAAGTTCCCGAGCCCAGCTTGAACAGGAGCAGACTGAATGAAATACTTGCCACATGGCCGTGGATCCAGGAGCCGTCCCCGAAACATGCTGGACACAGCTCCGACGAATTCTCGCGGAGAGGCCTGCAGCGGCTAAATCCGCTTGGATCTTGAAACCGGCCGTCAAATGCAGAGAGTCTCGGAGACAGATTCGGCGTCTTGGGCATTGGCGTGCGATGGGTCCTGGGTGACTGAATGGGTCGAGACAAAGAAGCCAACCTAGACTCCAGACGTGAGCTGGCAAGGCCCTCGCTGCCGGGTGAGGCGACGCTTTGACCTGTGTGCACATCTGAACAAAGGGAAGCATCTTAGGGGTCTTTGCGATGACAAACAGTCACTCAAGTCCTTTATGCATTGCTGACACAGAGAGAGAGAGAGAGAGAGAGAGAGAGAGAGAGAGAGCCTGCGAACCTCCTGGAGGAGGACACTCGCGGGTGCAGGCCCAAGGTGGTCGAAGCAGGTTGTTCTAATTGAGTGGCGCGGGAGCGGGGTCGCGCAATTGCGCGGGGGTCATTCCCCCATACCCCAAAGAAAGAAAGAAAGAGAGAGACAGAGACACCACACACACAACACTCCAACCCCACCACCAATGGCCTTCCCTAGAAGAACGGGAACCCACGGAAGAGTACTCATCACCAGGGGAACTACCAGGGGGACCAGGGACCACACCTCGACGACGCCGACGGAATGAAGTTGGGGGGGAAGAACTACAACGCCGTGCCCGTCCACTACCAGACATCGACGCAAGAAGACGCCGCACTCATGAGGGGGCAAGCAGCGATTAGACAGTACTAAAGATGGGAGCAAGGCTAGTCGTGGAGGAATTTAGTTGTAGGCATGGGTGAAATCAGATCGAACCTAGACAGGAAACAAACGGGACAGTGGGGGGAGGAGCGATAGGTGGACAACCGAACCCCAACCTCTTGATTTTGGCCAACGTGCCGGGCACCTTCTCAACACGAGAAGGGAAGCCTCACAAACAGGACCTCGGACAGCACGCGCCCCTGGGGGCATCCTCCCTTCGGGGGGGTCATGTGTGGGGGAGAGAGAGAGAGAGAGAGAGAGAGAGAGAGAGAGAGAGAGAGAGAGAGAGAGAGAGAAAGAAAAAGACAGAGAGGGAGGGGGGAACAGAGAGAGACAGGGAGAGGAGCTCGGCGAATCCACGAAAAAATAGCAACAAGCCAGAAAGAAAGAAACAAAGCAAGAAAGAAAACCTAAAACAAGGAAAGAAGGAAAGAAAGAAAGAAAGAACAAAAGAGGTGGAAACGACCAAGCAGCATGCTCCGATTCACACGCCCGGCTTCACTCCAGGCCCCCATGTTTGCCGTGTATATTAAGCAGGCCCCTTGCGGACTGTACGGACCTAGCCCCCTTCCTTGCCAGGATGAATCGCTTTTATTTCGGTGCTGCCTGGCGCGCTGAACCCCTATGCCCGGTAAACGAATGAAAAACATATGTATAGAGAGAGAGAGAGAGAGAGAGAATCTCTTCGGGGGGGGGGGGGTGTCTTCGCTGTGTAGAAGAAGAAGAAGAGAATCTAGAACAAGAAGGAGAGGAAGAGAGTGAGAGAAAATCCTCTTTAAATCGCTTGACGTTGTAGGATAGTATAGCTTTAGAATCGCTTTGCGTGACCACCCCCACCACGACTGCAACAGATGAGTTCCCGGTGACCCTGATGCCACCATGGGCTTGCCTCCTGGTATAGGAGTCTGCAGGGGCAGCTGCCGACGAGGACGTGCAGGCGGGTGCACGTCGGTCCTTTGTCGTCCTTCTGTGAGACCTTCCGTTCTTGATTCCACGGCCATGCGTTTAAGGTGGCCTTACGTGGCATCCCGCAATGGTTGAGTTGTCTATGCACATCGCCTTTCGGGTCCTCTACTGGGAGAGTTTTCTGAAAGCCACCGTGGGCTCTCCCAGGTGCCCGCAGCAGACCTCGCAGAGCTCTCTGCGACGTTTCAGAAGCTGCACAGGAGCCAAAAACGGAGCTCGCCGGGCTTTCAGAAATGGCACCGTCTTGGCCAACCTCAGAGACATCATATGACTCCACAGAGGTGCATGTAACATAGGCGCTGAAAGCAGTAAAAATCTCCACCGGTTTTCATGGAGAAGGTCTGGGGGAGGCTTCGGGGGAGTCGACTTCCGCCCACAACTGGGCACCAGGATTACGACAGAGCTCTCACGGCCAACCACGAGTGCAGATGAGGCGGTGCTGGGTGGTTCCAACTCCCGAACCACCGGATGCTTTCCGGCAAGCTGTAGGATTGTGGGTGCGCTGCGAACTCTGTAGGCGTCTTGACAGATTTCGCGGGTTTGTTTGTTGATGCGGGCGGATCTGTCAAGCAACGTGCCCTCACAGGTCTTGCTGCCACTACGGCAAGCAGCGCAGATCCTTTCACGACCACAGGCATCAAAGTTGGGATCATTGAGGATGTGGGGCTGCGCACTGACTACGTCTACGTAGAGCTGTAAAGACAGCACGAAGTGCCACACGTATCCTGCACACGAACATGTCTTGAATGCTTCCAATTACAAAGGCATCCGATCAACAGCTTCTCGTGCTCTCAACTCCTGGTTTGTTTTGACACATAGTTATTGCACTGAGCACTGGGTTCTGATTGTCAATGGCACAGCTAGTCTCCTTCAACATATGAGGCGCTAGCCTTATGGCCCCTCTCGCGTCCATTGCAGTCCTTAAACATCTTCCACCATGACAGAGCCTTCGAAGGGAAAGGCAGCCCTGCTCAAGGCTCCCTGCAAAACCAAAGACAACCCTCTGATCCCCAGACCCTGCCAGTTAGTGGAACTTCGAAAACTCTGAGGCATGTGTAATCTTAATGCAAAAAGTTCGTTGCACCCCCAAGCCGCAACTGTGACTCCCATAAGCCCTAAACCTACGCCTCACCCTCTCAAACCCTCAAACCCTCAAACTCTAAGTCCTTCAACGTCAACCTCCTGGAGCCCTAAACCCTGGAGCTGTAATACCCTCAAACCCCTATTGTTTCAAGTTTCCTGAAGCCGTTGGAAACCCTTATCGCGCAGAGGCCCAGGAGCCCCTGAGGGGCTTCCTGCGGCGGCTCCGTGCGCGGCGCGGCGCGAAGGCCCAGGGAGGGACCGAGCGTTTGTCGCTCGATCTTGGTTGTTAGTTCTTGTAGAATGGTTGTTTGTTTTTCGCTCTTGTTATTATTGTTTTCAATAGTCTGTAGAATGGAATTCTCTCTCACGGTTAGGATGATTATGGTTTTGTTTTGTCAGTTGCCCTTCTGATTTTGGCAGGGGCTCTACAGCTCTGGATGCGGTTGGGCGGGTCGATCGGCTCATTTTTTTGCTTCCTGCAGGAAAATATTGCGCCTCCAGCCAAGACTCCGGGAAGACTTCAAAAGCCTCCAGCGGATGACACTTGGTAGCAAACAGCCGTGGCCAGTGCAGAAGGCTCAGGTCGTTGCCATGCCGGCAGTCCGGAAACCGAACCGCCCTGAAGCGTGAACTTCTCAACGCCCAGGATTACGCATGCACCCGGGAGCAAGCAGCTGATGAGGGCCTGGTAGGCCGTGGGAGGATGTGGGAGGGAAGTGCGGCAATAGCACGTGCCTTGTCTTTGACTTTTTGAAGGCCACTCCAGCCAAAGACACTACGTTTATGGGATGTTGTAGTTCTTCTGAATGAAGTAGCATAATGTGTGCGCTGGAAGGAAAGGCACGCGAGCCTCCGGAGCAGGTGCTTTTCCCTCCTCGCTTTGGGGGCCCTTGCGACGGCTGTTGGGCACCGGCTCCGCGCCTGCGCAGCGCGGTGCTGCCGAGGCGGCGGGACAAGGGGTCGTTTCGGAGCCAAGAAGCACCTGGGAACTGACATGAAGAGACTCGCCAGGTGGTGGCTGCCTGCGCCCAGGCTGCAGCTCAAGGGCACTGCAGCCACATCGGAATGATCCAACTTTCATAGCCTTGTGATCTTAAGGCTCTCTGACTGCGTGAAAATCTCGGGGTTTGGGAGTTAGAGATGCTTGGGTGAGAGATGCTCCACACCGCCCGGGCATGTGTTTCACACCAACAAGCTCGGTGGAACACGCCTTCCGGGGCCCCGTGCGCTGGAAGCAAGAGAGGGAGGCCTCTCAAGACTTAAAACACGGAGATCTTAAGGCGCCCGCGCTTGTGGCGCGCCTGTGCTCCGTGGACTGCTGGGCCTCGTTGCCCCGTTGTCGGGAGCTTGGGGGTCAGTATGATTGGTGCAGACAAGCCTTGGTACTTGAGCACTGTCATGCAGCCAGTAGAAGCAATTGATAGCATGGAAGCACAGCATACGTTTTTGCTTTCGAAAGTCTTATCAAAACGCTGTAAACACGCGTTTTTGGCTTGGGAAGCCATTTGGGGGCCGTGAAAGGGAACATCAGCGGCCTCCCCCAGGCCACCGAAAACCCCCTTCAACACGCCGATTATACGTGCTTGAATGCTCTGCCTAGAACGAAACAGCGATGCGGGGACAGAAATGAGCAAATTGTGATCCCATCTGAGCCTCAGCAAATCATAAGCCCCGGTTCATGTTCAAAAGATTGAATTTCTGCACACGCTTGCTTTGTGAGCAGGCTTGCCCTTGCGCCGTGTTTGGTTCAAGCGCGGAGCGTTAGCTTAGCGCCAAGTGGCCTGGCCAGCCCTTTGTCTCTCGCCCCGCCCCTGTATCTCTTAAACAGATCCGTGAATGCTAACGGCCTCGCGAGGGGGTGAGTAGCTGGGAGTTTCTTGTCCTGAGCTTCTGCTGCTCTTTGCATGCCTCGGAGAGGACGCGAAGTGGCCTCGGATCAAACGAAGCCAGCCCCCAAAATTTAGCATATCAAACAAGCTTTGTGAGTGCAGCGCCTTCTGCGAGTGCTGTGGGAAAGTGGCGCCGCATTGCTCTGCAATCTCCCGGAGGGAGCCAAATACAAGGTCCATCGCGCATGTTCTGCCATCCTGGCTCAAGCTGCCGAGCGTTAGCTTGGATTTTTGCACATTTGACATTGTAAGCAGTTTTTGCGCATCGTGGTCTGGGCCTCGATGTATTGCGAGTTCAGGAGCAACTTGCAAGGCGCTAGCCGCAACGGAAAGAGCTTAGCAGCAGCAGTTCGGGCACAAGTGGGCTCCAAGGTTGGGCATGCAACTCCGCCAGGTGCAACAGCGCCTTGAGAGGTATCGTCAGAGCGGGAGGCTGCGTTCGCCCATGTAAGGTGCGAGCGGTCGGCAATGCCCCGCAGGCCGAATGTCACCTACTTTGTGCTTCAATAGTGCAGTAGCTGGCCCCTGCCCCGCGTGTGCCCAACAGCAGTTCCAAATGCCTCTACCAAAGCCAGAAGCACAGTGTGCGCAGGTAAACCGCCCACCAGCGGCTGCACGTCTTCAGCAGGCTGTGCGCGCGCCACGCTTCCCGGAAATGCGATGTAGCGTGTCCTTGACCGCCAGGTCGAGGAAATGGTGCGTGGGCCGGCGGACAGCCACCGGCTTCTCCGAACCGAGGCCCCGCAGCCTTTCTACGTACTCCAAAGAACGTTTGGGCAAGAGAATTGCCAGATCACAGCAATCAGAGGAACGCTGGAGATATGAAGTTTATTACCCGCCACCCCTAAAGAGCCAATGACAACAACACATACAAAAGCAAGCTAACAAAGCCTAAGAAACCCAGAAATACGCTCGCAGTTGGTCTCGAGACCCATGTTGCACCCAGCATCAGACAATCCAAAGATCACAGAGATGGAGTCGTTCGTTTCGCCCCATAACTGCGACGAATCATCACTGCGTTGGATTAGTGGGGCCCCACGAGCTCTTGAGTGGGTACAAATGGCTCGAAGTTTGTCAGAGCTGTCCGGCAAGTGCAGACATGACGCCATGCGGCTTCGACCCGCTTGCGTAGCTTATCCTACGCAGTGCACATAACGCCTGCACGTAACACAGCAGTCCAGGCCCACTTGTGACGACGTTCAAATGCAGGAGCACGGTTTGATTGGTTTTTATGCTTTGACATGCCTCCTTGGAGAAGGCGACGCCCCCAAAACCTGAGTAAAGCAAACATCCGTGCAAGCACAAAAGGCACGCTTGGAAGTAGACGCCTGAGTTGCAAAGTCGACTTGACGCACTTAGCGGCGGCGTGTCTGGTACGGATGCCAATGGTCTGTCACACCTATTCACGAATGTGACATCGCAGCACTTTGTAGTGTCTGTGCTTGGACGGGGCTTGAAGTTATCCCGGACATAACAGCCACAGTGGAACGCGTTAGCCAGGTTGACAACAACATCAAGCCTGCTGCAGCTTAGCAGCGATTTTTGCCTTGATCTGTTTTTGCTTGACGTGAGCTTGCTGCTTGGCTAACCCCTGCTGTCCAAGATGGAGATGCAGTACACCGCGTGGATGACTTGGTTTGCAATCTAAAGGGTTTCGCGTCAAGGAAGTCTGATGTTCTAGAGTGGTCGGCCCATTGAGGCCGCCGCTACGGCATTGGCGCAGTGTTCGGCGGCAAAGCGCAGGGCCGCCAAGGCCAGGAAGCTCAGAGCGTTTCAGGTTGGTGCGCGCTTTGTTTTCGCAGGGTGGCTACGCCGGTGCCTCATGCAACTGGCCCTCTCCCTCAGGCGTCAGACTTAGATCATAAGCCGCGGTCCAGGACAGGGGAGTTTGGCAGCGCTGGCAACTTGACCTGCCCGGCAGGCGCCCTCGCCAACAGAGGAGGAGGCTGGCTGCTGCGACTCGTAAGCTTCTCACCTCTTCACGAATGTGACATCGCAGCACTTTGTAGTGTTTGTGCTTGGACGGGGCTTCAAGTTATCCCGGACACAACAGCCACAGTGGAACGTGTTAGCCAGGTTGACAACAACATCAAGCCTGCCGCAGCTTAGCAGCGATTTTTGACTCGGTCTGTTTTGCTTGACGTGAGCTTGCTGCTTGGCTAACCCCTGCTGTCCAAGATGGAGATGCAGTACACCGCGTGGATGACTTGGTTTGCAATCTAAAGGGTTTCGCGTCAAGGAAGTCTGATGTTCTAGAGTGGTCGGCCCATTGAGGCCGCCGCTACGGCATTGGCGCAGTGTTCGGCGGCAAAGCGCAGGGCCGCCAAGGCCAGGAAGCTCAGAGCGTTTCAGGTTGGTGCGCGCTTTGTTTTCGCAGGGTGGCTACGCCGGTGCCTCATGCAACTGGCCCTCTCCCTCAGGCGTCAGACTTAGATCATAAGCCGCGGTCCAGGACAGGGGAGTTTGGCAGCGCTGGCAACTTGACCTGCCCGGCAGGCGCCCTCGCCAACAGAGGAGGAGGCTGGCTGCTGCGACTCGTAAGCTTCTCACCTCTTCACGAATGTGACATCGCAGCACTTTGTAGTGTTTGTGCTTGGACGGGGCTTCAAGTTATCCCGGACACAACAGCCACGGTGGAACGCGTTAGCCAGGTTGACAACAACATCAAGCCTGCCGCAGCTTAGCAGCGATTTTTGACTCGATCTGTTTTTGCTTGACGTGAGCTTGCTGCTTGGCTAACACCTGCTGTCCAAGATGGAGATGCAGTACACCGCGTGGATGACTTGGTTTGCAATCTAAAGGGTTTTCGTGTCAAGGAAGTCTGATGTTCTAGAGTGGTCAGCCCATTGAGGCCGCCGCTAGCACATTGGCCCAGTGTTCGGCGGCAAAGCGCAGGGCCGCCAAGGCCAGGAAGCTCAGAGCGTTTCAGGTTGGTGCGCGCTTTGTTTTCGCAGGGTGGCTACGCCGGTGCCTCGTGCAACTGGCCCTCTCCCTCAGGCGTCAGACTTAGATCATAAGCCGCGGTCTAGGACAGGGGAGTTTGGCAGCGTTGGCAACTTGACCTGCCCGGCAGGCGCCCTCGCCAACAGAGGAGGAGGCTGGCTGCTGCGACTCGTAAGCTTCTGGGCGGAGTGGTTGACCTCAGGTTGACGTTTGTTGAATGTTTTGTAGCGCGCTTGGGCAGGTGCTTCGTGCCATTCAGGTCCTGCAGCGGGCCAAGCCGCAGGACCTGCGCTCACAACAGGAACGGCTGGAGGAGGTGTGCGGGGGGGGGGGGGGGAGGGGTCATTTTGAGCACACTTCTACATCCTGCCCATATGCTTCTCTGGAGGTTGTGGCAAAGTCTACGCGCGTTCAGGCTCGTAAGTCGTCAGTAGGCAGCGATGATCCGGTGCTGCCTGCCTAGAACGAAGCAGCGATGCGCGGACACAAAGGAGCAAATTGTTGACCCCAGATTGTCCATCTGAGCCTCAGCAAATCATAAGCCCCGGTTCATGATCAAAACATTGAATTTCTGCACACGCTTGCTTTGTGAGCAGGCTTGCCCTTGCGCCGTGTTTGGTTCAAGCGCGGAGCGTTTGCGCTGTGGGACAGTGGCGCCGCATTGCTGTGCAATCTCCCGGAGGGAGCCAAATACAAGGTCCATCTTCGTTCACCATTGTCTCTTTCACTCTTTCTCTCTTCGTCTCCTCTCTGTCTCTCTTTCTCTTTCCTTTGCACTCACGCGCGCGCGCGCGCGCCCGCGTCAGGCGTGCGCCGCTGCACACCGAAGCTGCGAATGAAGCAGCCTGAGGGAGTTCAGTATAGGGCCGGAAGTCCGAAACACTTCATTCCAGAGGGATGCATGGGGTTTACGGAGGGGTTCAGGGTTCAGGATTCTCAAGACTCGTGCGCCCAGGCTGAAAGTGGCATCCTCCAGGGGGCCAGCACAAGGCCGTGCCTTTCTGCCCAATAGATATATAGGAACCATAATGACTTTACTAATTCTAATCATAATAATACTAATAAAGACGTAACCCGTAAAATGGCAAAGGCATATATTAATGCAACAATATCAAAATGGAATGACTGTCGGAGGTGGATTTTGTGCTGATGCCTTCTCGGTCTCACGGTGCCGGAACTTCATGGAAATTTGGGATGACAGGCTTACGTGAGGCAGGCAACGTGAAGGCGTATGCCTCTCCACGTGTCTCCCAAAGTGCACAGCTTTTGGCATCATATACCCCACGTTCGGTTTTGGACGTTTTTCCGGTGCAGGTTCCGACGGTTGCGAGGCTTGTCTTTGGGACCTAAGCCCGAAGCCCTAAACCCTCCGCCCCTCCTACGATGGAGTCCTGCAGCGCCCCAAACCCTTGTAGCCCAAGGCGCCGCACGGGCGGCGCTGGCCGCAATGGGGTCTCAAGGTTGGGGCGCCCTCCGGGCCACCTGGCGAGCGTTGATGCAGGCCGCCTAGCTTTAAATCTTAGCACGGGGGGATGGGGGGGGGGGGAGGTTTTGGGGGGGTATTGTTTATGCCTGCAGGTTTATTTTAGGGTCTTACAGGTGAGGGCTTTTGGGCTTCGGGTTTTATGGGTTTAGGCTTGTGTCTGATTCTCTTGAAGGGGCTCGTAGCTTGCGACGTCTCGCGGCAGGATGCTTCACAACTTGCAAGGGATGCGGTTTGGGGCCCGAGGGGCTGAGGTGAGTAATGCTTTTGGGGTAGCCAGCTTTGAAGAGGCGCTTGGAGGTGGCCAGAAATCGGCATCAGGACTCGAAACCCGAAGTTTTCTTGTGCGTCGAAGCAGGCCATCCTGTCGGCACCCAGCAGCGGGCGACACAGCTTGGCAGGTATGGTAGATCAGGCCGGGCCTCCCCTGCCATTACTTGCAGAAACAAGCATGCAAATACAAGAACATGGGCGAACAAGACCGCCAGAGAGAGAGAGAGAGGCAGAGCTATGTGCAGAGGAATGAAGGAAGAGGGAGAGAGAGAGAGAGAGAGAGAGAGAGAGAGAGAGAGAGAGAGAGAGAGAGAGAGAGAGAGAGAGAGAGTGACACACGACACTGACTCGCCCGCCCTAGTACAACGCACAAGCAAAACCCTCCACAGAGGGACCCGAAAGCCCGCACCTCGCAGCACCAGACCACAGAGCCACAAACCCAAGCCAACAACCGGGAAGAGACGGGCGCAGAGAAAAAGCAAGAGCACACCACCAGACCAGCCATCACAGACAAGCTCCCCGCCACCGGACGTAAGCAGCATGACACCGAACCAACAAGCACTGCACCACCTCGACCAAGCACTGGCAGAGGTCAACCCAAGCAACGGCACGGATGTAGCAGCCCACCTGCATGAATGCAGGACCATCCTCCAAGCAACCGGCGGGGGCATAACGGGCCGCACCAGCGCACCGACGAAACAGAGTACCACCACACCAACCCAACAACCACAACCCACACAAACCCGCACCGGGGGCCCACCACAGCAACAGAGCACACCAGCACCATACAGGCACCACACAACCAGAGCCATAGAGCTCGACGAAGCAGCCAGACAGCTCCAGCACATCCTGGAGGGGGACCCACCCATGAACCACTGGCAGCTTACACACACCCTAGCCACGGCAGCAGAGCTCATCCGCAGGGGCATCCACCGGATGGAACAAGTCGCCAGGGTGAATGACTGGCAGACATGGGGGGGAGGGGAAGTGGCGGCACAGGTGGGGCTGGAACTCACCGATGCACTGATGCAGCAGCTCCACAAAACCCCTGGGGGAGGCCCTGACACGCACCCCAGACAAGAGCAACAAAGATTGCACACACAAGTCAGGGAAATACTCACCCACACACAACAAGCACGAGATGCACACCAAGCTGTCATCGAAGCACCCCAGTGGTCCCAGCCACCCGCCGCCCCCCACACAAACCCTCAAGGGGACCCCACGCCACCACACACACCCGTCACCCACACAACACAGGCACGACAACAAGCCACCCACCCAGCAGACGTCCTGAAACTGAGCAGAGGAGGGGTGGAAAACCACACAGGCAGACCACAACAACTGCCACCACCAACCCACGACGAGCACATCATCCGAGCACGCCAGATTCTCACACAGCTAGCCCCATTCCTTGTCCAACAAGAGGCGACCATGGCCACTCAAGCCATACAAGCACTTGATGAATGGCTGGCCCATAAATGGGGAGAGCCCATCCACCTGATCGACACACAGACCGGGGGGGACACCCCGAACGACATACCCACACCGGACACCCTCCCTTGGCAGCCACCACCATACGAACCACACGCCGGCACCACCGACGACGCACCACACCCACCGCACCAACCAACACACCACCACCACACCAGTCCTGGAGGGCAAGGGCAAGGCGAGCCCACGGAAGAATTCTCTTCCTCGGAAGAAACGAGAACGAGGGCATATGGGGGACTACAACGCCGCGATTCCCCACTACAAGATCACGACTCAAGAAGAAGAAGAACACATGAAGGGGCAAGCAGCGATTAGGCACAGGTAGCCAAGCCGGCCATAAAGGGGGGCACAGAGTGGGGGACCTCCACAGTGTTGTACCTGTACTAGCACCCTTGTCCTGTACTCATTGCGTGCATAAAGAGGGAAGCCACCACCCCGGCCAGGCACGTACAGTAGACAACACAGGAAGTACAGGGTGGGAAACCTCAGCAATCAAATTTAAAGGGGGTAGTGGTTTTGAGGTTTTCGGGCCTTCTGATCGGGTGTCAATAATGGAGGGGCACCACATTCCTGTAAGTCATTTTCGGACCGCGAAAACCGCGGGCCTTCCAAACAGACTGACCCTTGGACATCACGCGCCCCTCGGGGCGGCCTTCCTTTCGGGGGGGGCTATGCGTGCAGGAGAGAGAGAGAGAGAGAGAGAGAGAGAGTGAACGCGTATGGGGGCGACCCCATCCTTGTGCCGCCAAACACCCTTGCAGGGCTCTGGTCAGCTGCTAGAGGTCTTCCGAGCGCTTGAGGCGCTGTTGGATTGTTTTGCACTGTGCAGATTCTCTATTGACAAGGGAGGTGCGGTTTTGCTGTCCAGAGAGATGTGCTATGGGACTAAAGGGCACCATGGGATTCTTTTCTGGCTCTGATTGGGCAAGGAATCTATGAGATGGCCGAAGTTGACGGCTCGCTGTACTGTTCTAAGAAAAGCCTCGTCCCACAACCGCCCCCCCCCCCCCCCCCGCGCAGTGTGATGCACAAGCTCCAGCTGGCGTTTTTTTCCTCCATTTCGTGCTTCACTCATTTCAAGCATTTTAAGCGCTGGAGGAAGCCTGGCCGCTGCTGTCTGAGGCCACTGATGCGGCCACTGCGCGGCAGGCGGAACGCACAAATATCAGCGACTTCATGAATCAAGGGCTAAACCGATTGTAGATGTGGACCTGCTCTTGGGCTTCTTGTTTTGGAGGACCAGATAGGGGCCGAGAAAAGAACGAGATGGCCTACCATGAAATGAACAATGTGCAGCCATCAGCCTACGATTGAACGAGACCTCGCGCTTGTCAGATTGCGTAAGAAGTGTATGTGTGTTACAAAGGAAACCTACCAGCCGCTTGGCCATGTAGTTGGTTGGAATGTGATGATTCTCACTTCGCATGGCTCTCGTACCTCAACTCCTTGTGGTCAGTGGTTCGTACGCTTCAAGGTGCTAGTCGTTGCAGGCTCTCGCCCACCGTGGCGCAGTGATCATGCCCTTGTCTTGACTCTGAGACTCCATTTCTGCTGAAACCTTGGCATTCTGCTTGTGCCACTGCTTCCCAGACGTCCAGGAAACGACTTGATGCTGTGGCCCATCTAATGCTCATGACTCGTCGACACATCACTTTCGGTATCTCTGAAGCATCGCATGCCCGGCTCTCCCCAGCTGATGCTAGCAATGTGGCAGCTTCCCGTGCCCAAGGCACTGTGCAATTGATGCTGATGATGCTGCCCGATGCTCCAAGTGACGCCTGTGGCCCTTGTCAGGCACCGCGTTGCCAATGACAATGTTTTTGCCCGCAGCACAGACAACTGATGCGAATGATGAGTGGCCATGTACAGTTCCTGTTGGCAATTCCGAGCACACATTGTAATACCCGTCTTAAAAGCAGGCCACTTAGTGATCATGCTCCTGCCAATGACGACCGAGACTCGCAGGAAGAGGCTGCTGAAGCTGATCAGGAGGCTCATGATGCTCTTGACAGTGAACATGCGCCCGTGACGGCCACAACCACCTCGCCCAAGCCTTGATGGTGCAAACGTGTGCTTGACCCCTTAGGCCCTTAACTGGCCGAGGCTGCTGATGCTCATGATGGTGCCTTGTTGTGGGTTCTTGTCCGCAGGCCGCAGGCTCGTGTCGTCCGGTCTGGCCTTGCTATGTTTTTTCTCTGCGGTCGCAGACAGATGTTGGATCAGAAGACAATCCGTGACTCCCTGCAGAAAGGCGCTTGGGGAACTGCTGGCAGTGACCGCGCCCTGCTGCCTACACTCGAGCTCGCAGGCCCTGATGAGGGGAGCAACGTGCAAGGTTAGCTGTGTCCCCACAATCTTGGGTATAAGGAACCACGAACATCAACAGAGGTTTTCTCGAGACATGCTTGTTACAGTACTCGCAGGTTGCTGTACTTTTTCTGGAGTCCGGGCTTTGCTTTTACATTGATCTTTTGGCGCTTGTGATTGGATTTCTAGAGCTGAGTGGTGCAATGTCCTTGTGCTCCTCAGTACCTGATGGAGGGAGCCCCGGCGGTTGCTCAGTTGGGGGCTTTTTGCTTGCTATTCCGCGTTGCTCCTGACCTCATGACCTCGAGAATCCCAGATCCCCTACGCACCACTCCCCATGTCCCCTTCCGTTCTACTCTATAAACCCTCAACCCATCTAAACCCTCTATATGCCTGAGCCTCCCCTGACACTCAGCTCCGGGCCGCGGCGGGTCGGGCGTTGCGTGGGGCAGCGAACGCAGCGGGCATGGAAGTGGTGGAGGAGGAAAGAGGGCTTACAGCTCGGAGATTCGATGGGGTTCATTTAGTGCTCCTGTGGTGGGACTGGTGCAAGGAACGCTTGCTCACAGTGTACACGTTGCTAACTCAACACCCCCGTACCCCGCCAGTGCAAGGTCCGGGCTCCGCGAAGGTCGCTCTAGATCATGCCAGCGTTATAAAGAATGAAGGGCACACATTGTAGCGGCATGGTCATGGCGGAGTGCATCTCGGGCCGTATATTGGGCGGTAGGGTCGTCGAGGTGTCTGTTGTTGCGCGCTTGAGGAGCTGAGCACCGCCGCTGCCAGCAGCGCCGCCGTTGGCGCGGCACGGGCGGCACTGGCTTCAGGCATGGAAACTCGATGTGACGCGGAGACCCGTCAGTCATTGTCAGTGCTCGTGAAGAGCTTCGGGCCCACGAGTGCACGAGTGGCATAGTTTGGGACCCATGGATTTTGAATTAAAGCGCAGTGTGATCTCCAGATGACCCCGAGCCCATCCGCGGCGTCGCCTCGGCAACGAAATCGTCCCCGTCACTTGGAGTCAGGTTCAGGGGGTCATATTCAGGTTTCGGGGGTGCTGAAGGCCCTGTCTGCTGTAGGAGCACATCTCTGTATAGGATGTCATCTAATGCCGGGCTCGTGATGGCTGAGGGAGCACTGTTGAGATGTGTGGAGGCTTGCAGGCATTTGCAGGCCTACAATGGCTACTATTGATGGCATGTCGGTTAACTTAGTGGTATGGTAGGCCAGGTGGGCGCCTGGCTCTCGAGGCAGTCGGAGGCAGAAGAGCGGTATGACGTAAAGTCACCTATCTGAAGGGCTCCAGACCTTTACAACAAAACGCAAGCGGGCCCACAAGAGAGGACTTGCCTTGCTGAGGTTGATCCCCGACTGCGCTCTGCACGCAGAAGGTTGGACAGGGCAGTGTTGAATCCATTCCGATTTCGAGGTTCACAATAAAGCCTGGACCCCTGTAAGATGGCTCTAAATTGCTCTAAGGTCTTGCTAGATCATGCGCCCGATTCTTCCCGGGATGGCGTACCGATGTTTCGGGCTGCCGGTGTTTCAACGACTTGATCCGCTTGATCCTATGCTGTTTCATGGCTTAGAGCACTAGAAGTCGGATGCTTGGGCAGTGCGCACGTTGGACGCAGCGCCCTGATCCTGGGAGCACCTTTAGCTGTGCGTAATGTCGACGCGCGCGAAGATGCGAGGACGCGGCGGAAGAAGATGCTGTAGGAGGCATTTCGTGAGCTTTTAAACTGGGAACTTGGGAATACTTTGTATTATACATAGCTTAAAAGTTTAGGATATGCTTTTGAAGCCGAAACGTGCAGCCCTCCATTGGAGCCCTCCTTCCACCAACACCGCCACGATCTCTTCCTTTCGTGCCAGCTACGCCGGCGTCGCGGCCGCGGCGCTTGCATTTCTCGCCTTCCAAGCGACCAGAAAGCCGAGGCTTGGGGACGGCTGGGTAGATTGGTACAAGTCTCAGGGCACTCTACCCAGCAACCACCTGGACGCTGAACCAAAAGTCCGCAGAGGCCCAGTTACAGTAGACATGGCCACCGAATCCAGGACACGCGTTCTCTTGAGGGCCTCCCTGAGTTGCGTCTGCCTAAGGTGACGGGGCCACCCAGAGAAGCCGGAGGTGGCGCGGGCAGAACTTCTTACGCGTGTTTCTACCGGGGTCGTAGCCAACTCAGGCTTGGGCATGGAGTGCTGAAGGCAGGTAGCATGATTGCTCGCGGCTTCCGCCCACAAGGTCTGTCCACAAACCATTTGACT